ACGTACAGGGAGATGTTTGAGGCATGGAATAGAGAGGAAAGGACGGTAGCTGTACTGGGGCATAGGAGGTGGGTTGAAAAGGCGGGAAGGGATATCGTTAGGATAGACAGACTAGGGAAGACATTTTTGAGCCACCTTTGGCAAAGTAGAAAGAAACGATTGGCCATCGGTGATCGGTCTTGTGGGAACAGTGCTCCGTCCTCTCGAGGACGCGTGGTCAATGGTCTAACCGCTAAGGCATGCAAAACATAAGAGTACCGCCCCCCCCTCATCGCGTATCACGAAGGTGGCCGTATGCCTCCGCACCAAGGACTACGGCAGGTTCCTTCCCGAATGGGTGGCCTTCCACTACGCCATAGGCGTGGACGAAGTCTCCATCTACGACGACAACAGCGTGGATAAAACGGCGGAAGTGCTCAAGCCTTTCGTCAACGCGGGCATCGTTCGGTACATCTTTGACATGATCCCTAGGTGAGGTTAGCTGTTCCTGGGCATTTTCTCTCGCCCGGGTCTGTGCTTCTTACAAGCTGTTGCCGACCACCCTCTATGCGGGTAGCCTGTATAGGTGCAAGCTGATGATTCCTTCCACTCGCTGCAAAGACTCCAGCACATCCCTCTTGACTGGGTTTATATCTCGAACGGGTAGTCTTTCTGTGAGGGTATGATTACTTTCTGAAAAAACTGAGGGGTTACATACAGACGGGAGCCTCGTTTGTTGGCAGAGGCTCGGTACCCCTCGGCGACTATACAGGTATTGGTGTACGATAAGGTTTTTCAATGAGAACCTGTTCTTTTGGCCCAGTTCTTGGATACTGTAAGGCGCAAGTTCTTAAGTGGTGGCGCGTTCTCTCTTGGACAATGTGCGCAATAACGAAGTTGTGTGTGTGTGTTTCTTGGGGGGGGGGGGTTTACTCATAGTCGTGCATGCCGTAGTCGTTAGACCATTGACCTCGCATCCCTACAAAGCCGCGACGGAGCACGCCGGGTTCTCACCGGACCAGGCTCTCACATCACCAAGCGCGAAGCGCCGTGAGGTGTTCGGCGAGTCCCATGAAGGGTGCGCTGCATCCTGCTAAGGGTGTTCGGCATCTTGTGCTTACTTCCTTGCATACAGATGACAGCTGCGTGTGACTTAATTTATTTCTGGTGCTTTCACTTCCTGAGACAGTTGTAAGCACTGTGTAACTGCCTCGAGGGTGCTTGACCATTTTAGCACAACGTGGTGCGATCATCCCCCTTGTGCGGAGTGAGGGTTCTCCACCCCGCACAACATGATCTACTCGACCACCATTATGGTAACCGCCAAAAAAAAACAGAGGTAAAAAAAAAAAACGTTAACCTGGTTGCCGAGTTCACGAAGTGAATTGACTTGTTATACAACGTCGTTGCCAAGCGACGAAAACCCAACCCCGATGGCAAATACCGGAGGAGGGGGGGACTTGTTTTATAACGTGGTTGCCAAGCGACGAAAACCCAACCCCGATGGCAAATACCGGAGGAGGGGTGGACTTGTTTTATAACGTGGTTGCCAAGCGACGAAAACCCAACCCCGATGGCAAATACCGGAGGAGGGGTGGACTTGTTTTATAACGTGGTTGCCAAGCGACGAAAACCCAACCTCGACGGCAAACACCGGGGGGGGCGTGTTTCTTGGCGGGGGTTATTATTATTGTTTTCTTGTGTTTTGGGGACGCAGTATCCTCTTATCGGTGTGTGCTACTGCTTGTTGTGTCGGGCAGGCGGGCCGCCCAAATGGAGCCTCTGAACCGCTGCTTGCGGCACTACATCAACCGGAAGGAGGACGACCCTGAGAACGCTCCCAGCTGGCTAGTGTTCCACGATACCGACGAGTACGTCTACCCGCGGGACACCAGCATCACCCTCTTCGACGCCCTCAACAAGCACGAGTCTACCTGCTGTGCCCTGGTGTGTTGGCAGTATGGGTGGGGTAGGGCACGTGGCAAGCGCGTAGGCGTTGTACTGTGCGCCATGATGTTGGCACGTGACAGGTGCTTCGACGCTTAGACGTTGCTTTATGCGTATCATAATAGCACGTGACAAGAGCTTTGACGTTGTTTATGCGCCAGCATATTGGCAAGTGACAAGTGCTTTGACGTTGTTTTAGCACCATCATGATGGCACCTTACGGTTGCTTAGGCGTTGTCCCATGCGCCATCATGTTGGCACGTGACAGGGGCTTAGAGATTGCTTCTGTCGCACCGCGTTGGTGACAGGTGCGCCGTATCCAGTACGGCTCGGGAGGGCACGACGAGATGCCAAGGGGGTTGGTCATGGACAGCTTCATGGCTCACCAGAATGACTCTTCGCATCACGCCAATCCCAAGGTAGGCATACATCTGTTGGCGGCCTACGCCACATATTTCTCGGGTGAGACTGTTTTGGTGATGTTTGAACTTCACGAGAGGTAGACGACCGTCCTTCACACGGACGAAAGAGGGAGTGCTCAAAGAGCGGCTCCCACAGCAAGGAGGGGCCCCGTGAATCATCGCGGTGCCCCCTATCAAACGGTTATCTTACCAGTCTGCGTGACACAAAATCATCCAGCACATGTATCCAACACCAATGTTTGCAGACCCACGAACACCCTCCCTGGTTCTTCTCGCAAGTGACTAGCCGTCAATGGGGCAAGAACGCCCCTGGATACATCAGAAAATACCAACATGGTAATATATGGAGGGGAGACCCGGCGTCCGGGCAAAACCCCTCAAAAAATGGCCTCCCACCACAAAAACCGTCGCTTCGCCTATCACAGCGGATCACAACAGCCGCACGTATTAGAAAGCCAAGGCGAAGGCAAGAACGCGAGGAACTACGTTCCCCCGGACGATGATCTCCCGGTGCCCCCTACTCCTGCCATTGGTACACAGACCGCAACAGCAGTTATACGCCTTTCCCCGCATGGAAAACATGACCTCTCCCAAGTGCTGGAAACTGCTACAGCTACCCTGGCAAATTCATCAACTTGCGCCGGTGGTACTGTAGACTGGCCCTGCTACGGGCCTTGGTTAGGAGGTCCGCATGTTGCTCCGTTGTCGGAACGAACTTGACCGAAACATCCCCCGGCCTAAACAATCCGCGGATGAAGTGGAATCTCACGTCGATGCAGGTCGATGTGTTTCGATGCGACCTGAGCTGAGGGGGTTCTGCACCAACGCTATGGCCCCCTGGTTGTCCT